TTTTTAATTATATAAATTATGAAATCAATAAACCACTTCTTTATTTAGAACTTCCTTTGAATTCAATCAAACCTGTCTTATAAGCCTAAATTTTATCAAATTTGGTATTTTTTAAATTCTTTAGCCACAAATAAAATACCATCAGAGGTAACTGGCAGCATAAAATAATGGATTATTCCACATAGAAATATACAATAGATTTTCATTTTCAGTTGAGCTTTAGAAGGGCATTAGAGTAAGGCAAATCTTAGGAGCTTGCACTTAAATTATTAAAGAAGGAGAACTTAGTTTTCAATATTGTAATTGGTTTGATATATCATAAACACTGAAAATTAGTAACATGGTATATTTACCAAATGCCCTGGTACCCTCTAAAATTTTATGTTCTGGGGCTGGGGGTGTAGCTCAATGGTGGAATGCTTGCCTAACATGCATGAGGCTCTAGGTTCAATTCTCAGCATCAAACAACAAAACTGAAAACACTTGATGCTCTGAATATCACAGTTGAATTAACTCTCATGCCAATAGTAAGTTCCTTAGGAACTGTTTCATCAGTTATTTATCACAAGTTGAAGGTTATCAAGGAGATAGTAGGAAGGCTTGTTTAAAAGCTAGAGAAACTGAAGTCATTTAACTCAGGAGTGTTGACAATTCAGACACTGCAAATAGTTTTTAAATTATGCATTAATATATACCCTTTTCATACACTTAACCCTCATAAATAGGCTGAGAAAAGATATTTACCTCTTTCTTAACTTTAAGAAAGGCATACTAATTTTACTATGTAAAATCTTAAGATCCCAATTTAAATTTCCTGTGAATTTTTCCATTTCCCACTCATATCTATCCCTGTTGCACATCTGAAGTTTATTTGTATTTAGAGAAATAAGTACCAGATATCAAAGATATGTGTTTTAGCCCTTGATCTAAACTCAATATTAATTCAGTGATTTGTAGTATTTCTTTTTTTTTTTTTAAGAGAGAGAGAGAGAGAGAAAGAGAGAGAGAACTTTTAATATTTATTTTTTAGTTTTCGGCGGACACAACATCTTTGTTTGTATGCGGTGCTGAGGACTGAACCCGGGCCAGACGCATGCCAGGCGAGTGCGCTACCGCTTGAGCCACATCCCCAGCCCCGGATTTGTAGTATTTCTTTGAGTCCTATTTTAGGGTTTAAAAATAAGTAATTATGATAGCTCCAACTTACTTATATACATCATAGGACAGTTGCCACAGTTAACTTAGTTTTTTAATGAGATGCTTTTTTTGAAATTGGTATAGAAATGTAAAGTATTATTAAAATCTGTTTATAATACGTCTTTTCTCTTACCAAATGCTGTTTATTTGGAATTGTCTTTTTTTTTCCTACCATTTATCAATGTTCTCCACTTTCAGAACATCTTTAATTAAATAGCCAACACCAGACACTCCCATGTATGTCTCCAGTAACCACCCCAAAGTAAGCTCCATTCCTGAAAATTAGTGACTTTAAATGATATTTATATTTTCTGACCTCTTTATTCTACACATTGTGTCCTAATCCTCCCCATGCAGGCTTTATTCACCTGGTAGTTCCTCCCCTCTCTGTTCACTGGTGAGAACTAGAAGCTTCCCAAATCCCCTTTCTTGTTCAGGCCACATTTATCTGGTTGCCATATTTGAATGATTCTATCTCCTAAATATCCTTAGAACATACATGCATCCCTTTCTCACCATATTATACTGTTTCAGCCATATAAGCTACTGTCTGTCTTTTACCCTGAACACTACATTATTCATATCCCAGTTTCCAGGACTCCCATGCTACTAGGAGAATTCCTTTTGAACAGAAAACTGATGTATCACCCATTGGATTGAAACCCCTATGTCTACAGGATAATTTCTTTGGCACAGCCAACAAAGCATTCCATAATTTAGATCTACTCTCTACCAATCTTTCTGATAGTCCTCATTTTTCCATAACCCACTACTTATGCACCACTTGGATTGAACTCATGCCAGTCTCCTCGGTTTGGGTGGTGTTTCCTCCCCTGGCCCCACAGGACCATTTATGTACTGGTAAACTCCAACTCACTTTCTAAAATTGAGTTCAAGCATTAGATATTCCATGAAATCTCCCCTTGCTTTCCACTACCAAGATCTACATTGCTTATATAAAATACAGTAGAAAAATATTGCTTGGGAAAAGAAATTTACAAATAAAAATGAAGTTATTATTAGAATAGGAATTATGAAGAGGCACAACAAAGTAAAATTCTATTTTCCATTTTAGGATCACAAGATTTTATGGCTGAAAAAGCTGTTACAGTCAATCCAGACCAAAGTTTTCTGTGGTTTCCATATAAAAAGTAAAAGCTCTTGACTTAAGATGAAGTTTGGGAAATTTGTATCTAGTTGTGTAATACAGACTGTATAATTTGAGTGATCCTTATACAGCATTCAAGAAAGCAGTCACTACAGAATTCAACCATAAAAAAATAGGATCATAGAATCTGGACTTCATAATCTCAATTTCTCTTATGTCCACAGCCAGCATTGAAGCTTTTTTGAAGAAATAAAGTTTGCCTTCATTTCATGTTCAAAGTTCACTGCCCCGATTGAAAGTTCACTGACAAGAAATAAACAAAATTTCCTGGCAAGTTGGGACAACTGGGTCTTCCTTGATTTTTCAAAAGTATTTTTTCAAAAACCTTTGTCTTCATAGGCAAAATATTAAAAAGACAGGTGAAAAGATTTATTGTAGCACAGTGTCAACTGTGGTACATTTCATCAGTAAAAGGCTCAGTAAAAAAAGAGAATTGAGTGAAGTATTTTCAACATACCTCATAATTTCAATGGATACTGGTTTCAATCATGAGACCCATACAGAGCTCCTCCTAAGAACTTTCCAAACACCCCAAACCCAATTATTTTTTTAAACTGAAATTTATTTTAAGGAATCCCAGTATTTGAGGTTTTGATATGTAAACCATGCTGATACTGACAACTGATCTATTTAAATTTATACTATAATTGACAAACGTTTCAAGATATATAGATTTGCAAATGTGTTTTCTTTTAAGCAGCTGCATTTCAGAAATAAGGACATGCTGGCATGGACCAACCTGATCCATCTTCCCCTGAACCCAGAGCCACTTAGTGGCCTGGGAACTTGAGGCAATTCTATTTCAAGTGAAGTCCACTTTTCCATAAGCAATTCTTTTCGAAGAAGGGTTGCAGGTTTTTACTGACACCTCTCATTTCTTGAAATGAATTCTGATATATTCTGAACATAGAGCTCTCTTGACCCTTTCCTTTCTTAGGGTGTTTCCCTGCTTAAAATATGTACACATTTTCTGTAAGTCTCCAACGCTGAGTTACTGGCATGAAAAATGACCCTGTTACTTGGAAAACAGTTTTCACTTACAGGTCCCCGGGGCCCTATAATGTCTAAACCTCCTGTGCCACTTTATATGATTGCCGCACCCTGCAGAAGAGCATAGACAGGAAAAGCAGACTTCCCTTCCCCCCCCCCCACATTTCCTCAGTTTATTTACAAAACGTCTTGGAATAAGAATGAGCTGTTTGTGGTTCCTGTGGCTGATTCCAGGATGGCTTCTTACAGACAGAGGATGCTGGTCAACCAAATGACCTCTGTGTAGCTCACCCATGCACCCCTATGTAAGGCTCTTTGATCTTATGGGTACCCCTACTAGGTAACTCTGAAGGTAAGAAAGAACTTAGTAACCAAATATCACTGAATACAGTCTAACAACAGCATGGCCTATCAGAGCTATACCTTCCTTTTCCAACAAAGGAAGTCAGAAATATGTGGAGATACCTTCAATTCCTGTTCATCAACCTTTGTTTCTCAAAGGAACATTTTTTTTCCCTTCTAGCATTCTGAAATGAAAAAAAAAAATGCTATTCATCTTATATTTGAATAGAGAATATTTTAGCAGGGGAAATCATCCCAAACCCTGGTCACAAGGAAGACACCCCTTAGGCAGCAGTTTCTACCACATCACACACAGTTAATAGTCATAAGAAGGTTAAAGTGGGGATGACCTGAGGTAAACATCAATCTCCCCAGATGTGTATTCATATTTTCTCTAAATTGATAATTGACACTCTTACATGAGTGATTCTTTGAAACCTGGGAATACGTGTAGCCATATCCTTAGGACAGACTCGTCTATCCTCAGCATATAATATTTTTACTTCAGTAAGCAAAAAACGAGGGTACAGAAATTGTAAGACTGTCCCAAATATACAATACTGAGAATAAATTACCATAAGCACTTGCATATGGCCCTCATGGAAATACTAGTAATATTAAATTTACAGCATTGTATCAATTTGTGTTGGCAATTATTAAACCCACTTGAGAAGAAATATTTCAAGAAAGCGTTGGAGGGTGGTGAGTAGCTAACATAGTTTCAGAATCAATTTGCACTGAATCAAAGAGTAAAATTGTGTTCTCTAATATACCATAGTTGGAAATAAATATCTTAGAACTTAGTATCCTTTCTCAAACCCTAGTGTGTGTAATTATATTACTGAAGAAATTAAAGATATGTGCTTATCACCTACCACATAAATGAAAAACTAAAGCCATGTGTATTAATTTCAATTCACATGTGAGCATAAAATTGCCAGTCCCTAATTTCCAGAGAAGCTAATTCAGTAAGGATATTTTACATATAGTCCCTAATTTCCCAAGGAACTAATTAGTAAGGGTATTTTGCATATGTATTCTACAGATTGTTCAAGCCAAATGCATTGCTATTTTTCAAATGCACAAATTTTATGAACTTTGAAATTAAAGGCAACATATGTGTTAAAAGGAAATATCATATCACACTGAAAAAAAAAGGTCGGAAAAAAATTCTGCCTCATTCAACCATTACCACCAAATTGAAAGCTAGTGAAAGAAATGTAAACACTACCAGAAAATGTCATGCAACTTCTATGTTTATAAGTTAACCTTTGTTTTTGTCTTTCTTCATTTGTCTCCCCAGTGCATCCTAATGTCAGTCAAGGCTGCCAAGGAGGCTGTGCAACATGTTCAGATTACAATGGATGTTTGTCATGTAAGCCCAGACTATTTTTTGTTCTGGAAAGAATTGGCATGAAGCAGATAGGAGTGTGTCTCTCTTCATGTCCAAGTGGATATTATGGAACTCGATATCCAGATATAAATAAGTGTACAAGTAAGTGCCTACACAACATTATATTTTTATCTCATCCTTGGGGACTTTTTCAGATTGAAATCGCTTCTAATATATCTGTGATAGTGTTAAGTAAATAGTGTTTACCTGATGATTAGGCTAAACCATACTTAAATTTAGCAAGATAAAGCAAAAATCATGTGGTTTTCTTTTAATTGAAAAGCTAAGACTGAGAACATGTTTATTACTTATTGAACCTATGGAAAAGTACTGTAAGCATCAATATCATCTTAGTTCCCATGACCATCAAAAACTCCAAGTATTTAATTACTTGAATCATTGTAGCTTTTTAGGCTACCAAAGGATTTGAGTGTAGCAACTCAAACATTTATTTCATCCATTGGATATATTCTCTTCTGGACCCAGGGAGTCTGCACTCCACACTGAACCCAAGTGAACTTTCAAAACTGTAAATTAGGAAATACCATATAGCTCTCTATCTGTCCCTCCACGATCATCTCCTAGGACTCCCTCTCTACCATGTTGCACCAGCCTCAACTGGTCTCCTAACAAGGCCTTCCCACCTCCAGCCTTTGTAATTACTGTTGTATGCTGGCTCTTCTGGAAATTTGGAAAGATCTTTGCCTGCCTTTGCATGGCTAGCTCTCCCATTTCATCTGGGATTCTTCTCACATGTCAGAGCAGTGTTCCATGACCATCTTCCCAGAGAGGTATTCCATGACCATCTTATTCAAAATAATCAGCCTTTCCCTTTGTCAGTTATTTCCCAGTTCTTTTTCTTCCCTTTTCTTTTGTGGTTGTTTTGTTGTTTTTTTCAGAGTGCTTTTCACTGAAAAGTGAAATCAAACTGCCTGGTTTAGAAAACCAATTCACCTCTCTGGTTCTTAGCTAATTACATAATCTTTTGAGCTTCAAGCACCTTATGTGTAAAATGGGAATCATCATAGGGACTTCCTTGTTGGGTTGTTTTAAAGTTTAACTAACTTAATATTATAAAATTCTTGTAATAATCCTGGCTTATAGGATTACTACAAGAAGGGTCAATTTGTTGTTTGTATTATATTTCCTCCTAGAATGCAAGCTTTGTGCAGTCTGAATCTTTTTTCTCATGTGAATTGCTATCAACCAATATCTAGAATAATCCCTGGCATATACTGCAAATCAAATATTTGTTGAGTGAATAAGAACAGTACAAGAGAGTATCCCAGTATAGTTTATAAAAGTTCTAATGAGACATCTTCACTATGATTTAATACAAATAGATACTTGTCCTGTAACCAGTTCTGGCAATATATATGTACAAGTTGAGTATCCCTTATCTGAGTTGCCTGGAACCAGAAGTGTTTCAGAATTTGAAGTTTTTTACATTTTAGAATATTTATGTAGTTTTTACTGGTTGAGCATCCCAAATTCAGACATTTGAAATCAGAAACATTTTGAGTGTCACATTGGTGTGGTGCTAAAAAAAAAAGTGTCCTATTTCAGAGCATTTGGGGTTTTAGACATTAGGAAAGGGAATACTCATCCTATATAATCAAAACATTTCATTAGGTAATTAGTACATGATATTAAATCAACAACTGATATACATCAACTAAATGACTATAGAGGAATCTTTAACTCATTTTAGCAAAATAAATTTGAACCCCAAGTGTGTGTTTGATACAAAATTGCCTGTGTATGGAAAAATGGTCCAACAATAGTTATGAAAAGATCATGAAAGCATATTTCTCTTTTTTTTCTTTTTCAGAGTGCAAGGCTGATTGTGATACGTGTTTCAACAAAAATTTCTGCACAAAGTGTAAAAGTGGATTTTACTTACACCTTGGAAAGTGCCTTGACAATTGCCCAGAAGGGTTGGAAGCCAACAACCATACCATGGAGTGCGTCAGTATTGGTGAGGAGGACTTCTGAAACTTAGAATGGATGAGAAACACCTCACATGATAGTCATTCTCCATAAAGGTGCTTCTCAAAGTCCAGTCTCACAAGAGCCTCAACAATTGTCTCTTAAGAGGCTCTCTCTATCCTTCTTTACAAAGATCCTATTCTAAAGATGCTCTCATAGCATTATCTAGCCTGTATCACAGTAACATTTTTCATCCAATGAGTGCTCCATTATTTCTTAAGGACTGTTTGTATGTTTCAACTATTCTGAACACTGTAGATTTATTTTGCATCATTACCTAATGAAGTTTTACTTAGAATTAGTCTCTGTATCTTGAAGTAATTAAAGCAATGATTTCACAAAACACCTAGGTCTAATCTCAACCAATAACCAAAGTTATTTTCCAAGGAGGGAATATTTTCTCTTGATAAGTCCATTAATGCTTCAATGTTCTACTTGCACAGGTATTCAGAAAGGAAAAAACGAAATATTTTGGACTTACTCAAACTGACAAAAGGAGAGAGTCCCGGGATCTGATTAACTGCAGGCTGAGTTTTCTAGAGGGGAGGTCCCTGAGACAAGTTGTTTGTCTAAATAACAGATCACTGTCAGGCTATATTTTCCCTCTTTTCAATGTTGTGCAGCTACTTGAGCTATGAGTTTGATGAACACTTGGGGAGCAGATGCTAAACCAAATGAGAAAACAGCATAGGAAAGCTCAAAATCCCCTGGGCAAGAACTGCAGGAACCTTTGATGCTGCACTGAGGTTGGCATGTGCACACAACAGCCCTCCTGATTCAGTACAAGATAGTCTCCAGGACAGCCCTGGGGCCACAGCACAGACCCTTCAGAATTTAAGTGTTGGAGCAGTAAATATAAGGTGGTGATTTAACCATTTCAGGATTTTATTTCTGAACAATGGTTTGGGTAGAATGAAACAAATAGATGATATTTTAAAGGTAACCTCAGAAGCATCTGGAAAATAACAGTCCTGAACCAGTTCATGACTCTTTCTGATTAAGTTTTTTTCTTCTCAATAAAAACTCAGAAAAACAGCTTAGGAAAGGGTAAAAGGTACATGAGAAAGCACTTCAAGTTGATCTCTTTACAGGTCCTGAGGGCTGATGATTAGAGGTAATCAGTTCCAAACTTGGAATAAAAAAAAAAAATGGGAACACGCTTGTGGAATATTCAAGGATAGAAATTCACGATGAATTACTGAGTTTGTGGGATTTATTTACCCAGAAAAAAGGACCCACATTGAAATTTTCTTAGTGATTGAAGGTGTAGCACTCTGTGTTCAGATGTTATTTATATTAAAGGCTTTCTTACCCGAAAGAGCATTTAACATTTGGTACTTTTGGGTTAGCCTTTAATGTTTCCTAGTTTTATGCTACCAGTAAAACTAGATTATTTTTTAACACAAATTTAGGAGGTTTATATTTTAAAATAGGTACTAGCAGTCTAAAGGCCACTTAACTTCATTTAGCTCATTTACTAGGTACAAAGGACCTAGGACACAATAGTAGTGCAAATCAGAGACTTTATTTCAGGGTTGACTTTTGTTTGTCCATAAGGGCTGTCTCCCATCAGGTGCCATCTGGCCTACCGGCGCCACACATATCACCTTGCCCCAGAATTTCAGGAAAGAAGATGACCTACTTCACCATGCAGAAGAATATGAAAGCCTATTCCCCTAACAACCATGAAAAATCGGACCCAGAGAGCTGAAATCTTAACCCCCAGGCCATATTGCATGTTGTCAGGGCTATACTTAGTACGTTAACCTTAGCTCCCCACTGGCTACCCAACAAAATATGTCTTTCCCTTTGCTAAAAATATAAAAACTGTATCTCTGGCTTCCTACCTAGATTTCAAATTGAGTGGAAAGGTCAAAATCAAAGAAAACACTGCCCTGATGTGGAACTGGAGTCTTTTGCCATCACATACGTATTCCCCGTGGTTTCAGGTCAAAATAAGCATAAACATCCACTGAACCCAATTTTATAAGAGGACATATTCTTTCCAGTTGGTGCTCAGTTATTAGCTTTCTTTCTTTACTGTCATTCTGTCATCCTCATTGGAGAAGTGGTCTTGCTCTAGTAGTCACAGATGGAAGAAGATGTCCTTGTTAGATTTTCTGGGGAACCATGTAGTTGATCAGCAAGAACTGAGCAAAATCAAAATGGTATTGCAAGACCAATAATGGTAGGACATCCAGTTAAATTTTCCTCTTAATTTTCCTCCCCTTCACTGTTACCCAAGACTAATGGTCAATTTCAACATAACTAGTACCAGGGGAAGGCAACTCATTATTGTTTTTGAGATACTTGCTTCATTAGTGAATAGCTAGAGATTTCCAATGTTGAGGTTGTTCTTATTACAGAAGATAGAAGAAACACAGAAACCGAGTAATTCTGCTTTTTTTAAAAAAAACTATCTCTTAACCAAGTATTGCTCCAGTTCTCCATTGTTCATTTAGTAACCTGACTGTAATCTTTTTGTTATCTTTAGCATTTCCTCCAAAATTTCCATTTTTTCTGGATGCTAATATAGTTTATTCTACTATTTCTATGGGAACAAAAGTGATTCTCCTCTCCTGGCATTTTAACTCTCTTGTCTTATTAGAGCTTTTTAATACCTAACCCCATTAGTTTGAATGTACTTCTTCTTCCAATGTAATTGTCAAAGGGTGTCATTACAATTTCACTTTCAGCACCATTCACTTTCTGACTATAGACCAATACTTACCCATGTTGTAATTTTTTAAATCTGGTTTTCTGAAGGCTAAATACACATTTTTCTTTACCATTTTTCTACTATGAAAGAACACCCAGGTCTGGTCATTTCTGCATTAGACAATGTTTCCTAATATAGTCCTCTTAATTATGGCATTAAATGAATACTAGACAAAATTAGAGCTCACAATCTTTTCAATTATTTTTACTTTCATTTTGGACATATTTTTATTTTATGTATTAAAGATCTGCTACTTTTTCAATGGTTAAGTTTGAGATGGGATACTGGAAGATAATGTTCATAACTGGAAAATGATTATGATGTTGTTAATGGTTGTTCTATTCTTTAACCATAATTATGGTGGTTAACTGAGCATGAAGACTATTTTGAAAGTGGTTCACTAAAGCTCAAGATCACAGAAACTTAAATTCAAGTATCTAGTGTGTAATCACTTTTATTTAACTCTGTGTTACATTCAGGTATTGAAAGGGACTGAAAAAGCCTGAGAGAAATGTATGATGAATGGATTTAAATTTATAATATACTTAGGTTATGTTTCTTTTTGTATGTGTGTGTCTGTGTGTGTGTGCACCCATGCGTGTGTGCAATGCTGGGGCATTCTACTGCTGAACTATACCCCAGACCTGTTTTAAATTTTATTTTGAGACAGGGTCTTGTTAATTTGCCCAGACTGGCCTTGAACCTGCAACCCTCTTGCCTCAGCTTTCAAAGTAGTGTCACCATGCCCAACAAGGTTATGTGTCTTGAGGTTGTTATCAAAGAGCATTCTGCTCTAAAATAAGGATTCCTTAAGGCAGAAGAATTTTCTAGGAAACTTGGCATGGGTTGTATCATGGGAAAGTGTTGCTGTTGGAAGCTGTGTCACTTGTTATTAAGTTAGGAAGTTCAGTGGTTATAAATATAAGAAGAGAAGTTTTCAAATATTTCTTTTTGTTGGAAGTACAAATATCTGTTCTAAAACTTGGGAAAGTCATTATTGAAAAGACATGAATACTAAATACAGAAAAAGGAAACAAATCTAAAACCTTAAGAAAAGGTAACTCAATTTCTCCTAGGGATCATTCAGTCAAGTTCATTCTAGAAGCAGGTTATCAATTGAAATAATCCCAGAATTCCCTTATAATAGATGCTGCTATGCTGAACCATACCCAGTAATAAATGGCAATATTTAAGGGCTCTTCTGCACAGAAGTAAGAAAGGCTGTGAATGTAGGCCAAAGACCTGGATTCATTTGCTGTTCAATCATTCTATTGTATAGAAGTTTCCAAAGGCTATTCCTAGTATCTACAAATCAGCATCACCTGTATTGTTAGGAAAGCAAATTCACAGCCCCATGCTGGACAGCTGAATCAGAAACTCAAGCTGTGGGGTCCAGCATTCTGTGTTTTAGCAGACCCTCAGATAATTCTGATGCATACTGAAGTTTGAAAATCAATTCTCTAGCAAATAATGACATCTTCTCTCAAGTTCTGGTCAGAATCAATAGATAATTGTAGGGATTCTCTGGAAATTATAAAGCATTGATCAGTTGTGATGAACTGTATTACTGGCTGAGTTAATCAAATCTAGAGCAAAATGTAAATCCAATGTAAAAATGAATTTACCTAATAATTATGAAAAAACCTGAAAGCATTCTGTTTCTGCTTCTTCCATTCTCTGATTTATACTTAAGTCATCTTACCCAACTTTGATCTGCAGGTTTTATCCTCAAAATTTGGGCAAGTATTGAGGGAAGCAAATCTTTCTTATTTAACGATCATGACAGTGTTGTAAGCCAACTGAGACTGTTTTTGCTGTTCTATTTCAGTGCACTGCGAGGCCAGTGAATGGAGCCCTTGGAGTCCATGCATGAAGAAAGGAAAAACATGTGGCTTCAAAAGAGGGACTGAAACACGGGTCCGAGAAATAATACAGCATCCTTCAGCCAAGGGTAACCTGTGTCCACCTACGAGTGAGACAAGAAAGTGTACAGTGCAAAGAAAGAAGTGTCAGAAGGGAGAACGAGGTACAGTCATACAAAATGTGCTTGTTTGAATTCTCATAATTTGATGCGTATCTTGCTTTATGCATTAAGTATTTCTTAGGAAATATTTGGCCACGTTACTCATGTCTAAAATCCTACAGTGTGTACAAGCAAATAATATGTTTACCCCACATTATAGAATATAGGTGTGATAATTTTAAAAACTGGAGCCTAATCTCAGAACATTATGCTACTATAAAAGTGTGCTAACTGAATTGTGATGCATGAGTTTATATTATAAGCATCTGGGCGATTATTTTTTCTATTATCCACCTTCTTAGTGCCTAGAAGACTTTTGAAAAGTCTCATAACACAAGCTCTGATTCCATTTTGTGTAATACTATGGCAAAGAGACAACACCAACTTAGTCCTTTCCTCTTTGCATACAAATCAAAGTTGTGTAATTAGGTAGCAAATTTTTGTGACTAAACAAACATATATTTAGTTGTGGATAGACCTTTATTTTATTTATTTATATGTGGTGCTGAGACTCGAACACAGTGCCTCACACATGCTAGGCAAGCTCTCTACCACTGAGCTGCAACCCCAGCCCTAAATGTGTATATAAATATCATAAATATCATATATATATATATATATACACACACACACACACACTCACATACAATTACCTCTGAATTAAATGACCAAGGCTGTATTTTATGAGTTTAGCACAACCGTTAATGATGCTCTATTCCTTGGGAGGGGCAGTTGGTTGTCTGTTTGATTTTTCCATGTTATACTAACTCTAAATACTGGATTATAAAATCTATTAAATATTTATTAACAATGCAAGGACTTGTTCTGAAATCTTATGAGTTCCAAGGAAAAATATACTATATATTATTATGCTTGAGAGTGAATAAACTTCCATTTAGAAGAACCACAATTGTTGACCTTTAAAATATCATTTTCCTGACTTTCTCACTCATGCACATAGCACCACTTCCTACAAATATGTTATGTAGCTTTGAGTAACTATTGGTAGTTATCTGGTGACCCTGTGAATGAGCCTCTCAAGTAATTGCTTCTTGTAAGGAGTAGTCTGCCTCTGATTGAACTTCCTAAGTTTTTTTCGTGCATTCTTTCAGCATATTTTATTAAATTCTCACTTCATGGCCATACATAGTACTAGCTGTAGGGATTCCTATCTAAACAGAATACTGTCAGAGCATTCTGTCTCTGAGAGTATACTCAAAGTCGTGTGAAGGGTTGAGATATTTGAACAGGTGATCACAAAACCATGTACTACAGGAATTTATATGTATGTGAACTAAGTTTAATGGAGCACAGTGGAGGACTCTGTGTACACATGAGCATTGTTCGTATAAAAAAAGATTTGGAGTCACCTGTGCATTTCAAAGCACCTTTCATTATACCAACACAAAATGGCCATCATCAGAATGTATAATCTATTGTTACCATTACATCAAGTAGTTAATGTGACAAAATTCTTGAACACAAGGGTTATTCTAAAAAGAACTTCAAACTTTTGTAAATTTGTAAGAAGTTTTGATTAAAATTTAGATTTGGGAATAGAAATTGGCTAGTGAGCTGCTGGGATTGTGGCTCAGTGGCAGAACACTTGCCTAGCATGTGTGAGGCACTGGGTTTGATCCTCAGCACCATACATAAATAAATAAAATAAGTAAATAAAGATACATCTACAACTAAAAAATATTTTTTAAAAAAAGAAGACAAAGAAGAAGAAATTGGCTAGTGAAAAAGGTCTTTCTGGCATTTGTTACCAATTAATCTAAAACATCTTAGATTTTAAAAGTTGGATTTGGAAATCAAATATTTCATCACTCTACTATGCGTATGCTCCCATAGCCCTATGTTTACTTATGTTTACTAAATTTTCTTGAAATTTAATGACTTACAGGTGGTCTTTGCTCATATCATTCTTTCCACAAAGACTCTACAGTACTAATCAGTATTAGTATACTTTACTTTTAAAATTTAAGGAAAGTTTATCCAATTGAAAAAAATTAAAGTAAGACACTAGGAACATTTTATTTCCTTTATTTAAGAATGTGGTCTTCTAATATATTTTGCTGGCATTTGATCTAAACATTAACATTGAAAATGTCAGTTCTTAAGATGAGTAACTGATAAGATAAATAATGCCACAAGGCATTTGAAATAGTAACCTGTGACATAAGACTTGGCTTAAAATTTCTCTCTGATTGCCTCTAAGGATACAGTGACATTTTATATTGACAAGATAATTTATACAATTAGAAAAAATTCAATCATTTTATTCCTTTTCAAATTTAATAATGCATAGACTATTCAGTAGAAAATGTGGATCACTTATAATTAAACTCTAGATCTAGCTTCACTTTTACTTACTCTTCATTCATCTTTCAATGTTTTCTTTAGAACTATTTCAAGTAGTTCAGGAACAAATCTGTTTCTCCCTTCATTCACTACTTCCCTAACCTTATACCTTTCTTTCCATGAGGTTTACTTATCAAATATCCTATATGAACACAGAGAAACCAGATAGATAAGTAATTATGACCTCTGGACATCCCACAATTTTAACTATATAGAGCATACCATCAAGACAAAAACAAACACAATCATGCAAGTCCTCATTTAGGGTTTGATATAAATTTATGTTACATATACAATATAATAAAACACTTAGTTATTGTCTTGAATTTATCATCTTAGTGGTAAGAACCACAAATATGCATAGAAGGAAGAATATTATCAGACCAAATAAAGTAGAAGACTTTAATTTCTTTTTAATTTTTATACCATCTGATATTTCTTATTTTAATTAGAGTAAGCATTAGAAACCTTTAGGTAATTTAAAAGATAAACATAACAAAATAATAAAGACATGATCTCTCCTACCACTAAAATATCTTATTATTTGAATTCTCCTAAATACCAATAAGAGTCATAAAACAGGAACATTCGTTTAGTGAGTAAACTAAAAGGTAAGGTTTTTATTATAAAATTTAGCCTAAAATTTTAAACTTACCTCTATGATCCCTGCCCAAGAAGTTAACAATAGACAGAGGTAGATAACTCATTTGGACTAGGTATGGAGCATGTGTTCAGAATTTTTTCTGCTGTGTTGTAATTGCCAAAGGCAGAGTCCCTAGGGAAGAGTGATAAGAACCAGAAATGACTTTCCAAAATGTGCACAAAGAAGTTGAATAGAAGAAAATAGTTTCTAGTAACAGAATGGCTTATCCTAGTCGTGAGATGTTTTTCAATTAATATGTGTTGTTGAAAAGATAAGTTGCAAAATCTTGTACGTAGTTTTCTTTCCTATCTCTCTTCTGTTGTTGAGGATAGATGTAGTAAGTGAATGCAAGGAGATAAATGTAATTTTCATAGTTCCAACTCAAAATTTTAATAAAAATAAAATACATAAATAAAATAAGTAAATAAGTGTACTGTTTTTAACATATTTAGATATATTTCCCCTTTACCTAACATGATATCTTTATCAGGCTTAGCTTATTCATCAATTACTAGCCCAAGTAAAAAGTTAAACTTACCTCAACTGAATTATGTTTGAAATACCAAAAATATGTGAGATGTATTTGAAGAGACTACATAAACCAACATGCAGACAAATACTATATAGACTTTAAAATAATATATTGAAATGGAAGAAAAGAAGGAGAAAGTATACTTTCAATGGTTGTCAATTTATAATTATTGACTCTTTCAACATATGGGATATAACCATCACAGATAGAAGTGAAACCAGGAGGTGCGTGTGTTGCCTGCATTTGATGCAAAAGTGTGTTTGTGTGTGTGATGGAGGTGGAAGGGGAGTTAGTATTTTTTAGCTTATTTTCTCATTACTCTAATTTACTGAAGAGAATTTCCTACAGATGATTTTTAGGGTAATTCACCAGAAATGAAGGAAATTCCATTCATGACTAACTCATGAAGAAGATCCTCATTAATTACAGGTAGTGGGTGATCTTGAAATTGAAAGAAGAGAGAAGAGTCATGGGAAAAATGCAGTTGGAATCTACCTTTTTGGTAAAAAAATATGAGGTAGTTTTATTCCCATCTTAGTTAGAAAAGGAGTACATTAAAATAGAAGTAAATAAAATGTCCAAGGAAATAAGTACAGAAATTATTGTATAAATTTAATATACTATAGGTTGCTTTGTGTACCGCCCCAAAATTAAGTATAATAATTCTACTGGGTATTACATGAAAGAAAGGTCTTACATGGTAACTTATAATATCAGTATTATAAATATGCATTATTATGATGGTATATTTAAAATTACAACAATATCAGTTTTTAAAAATCTAACAAAAAACAACAGTGAATCTATTTTGTTTCTAGGTTTGCTTCTTTGTCATTTAGTTTGCTTCCTAAATTTTTATAACTACTCCAATGACTTATAGTTGAATTTACTACAGGAAGGAATTAGATTAACTAGTAATTCAATTCAAAACAAGGTACATGGCCAAGATTTCCAGAACAACTCATCAAAAGCCAAATAGATGGTTTTATTCATTGAAAACTGTAGGATGCCAACTGGTTTGAAGAATTTAGATTTTGCCCTTTACCAGTTCTCATGCTCATGGAAGGCCAACTGGACTAAAGACACTCATTCTGTTTAAGCACTGAAGGATGAAACTTTCTGCTCTTTCCTTACACCTGATATTAGACTGAAGCCTTGACACAGGGAAAACAAATGTCAATAAAATATAGAGCTCAGATAAAATGGCACTAGAGACTATGGTTCTCAACCAGGGATGACTTTGCTCTCAGGAAAAATCATTAACTGCTAAGAGTACCAAGAATAAGAAACTGTGGTGCAAACTCAACAATTTCTTTTCTATGTTCCTTGGGTTGTGTGGATTCTGGAGAAGACCACTTGCCACCAATAAAAACCTGCACTTCATAGGAAGAGATGTTAACTAGGACAAAATGGTGGGACAGAGGCAGAAGTTTTGCTCCACAATATGAATATAATAATAAATTT